TGGAAATCATCTTGTAAGCCTAACAGCACGATACATTCATGTGTAAGAGTTTTCCATTTGGGCAGGCTGTTTCCAGCCAGTTTGATTTGCAAATTTTCACCCCTGTGAATTTTCTGCCTTTGAGATTGTTCTGGAAAGCATTAAGCTAGCAGGGGAGGGCAGATTCCAACAGCATTGTGCAGGACGGAGGAGCCTCACGGTTGTCAGCTTGTGACATTGTGTGTGCGTGTGCGAGTATGTGTGTGCAGGTGAGGATGTGTGTGTGTGCTGGTGTACATGTGTGTGGGTTGTGTCTATGTGCATGTGTATGCACGTGTGTGAGTGTGCTGTGTGTGGGTTGTGTGTCCTGTGTGCATGTATGTGCACGTGTGTACTGTGCATTGTGTGTGCACGTGTGCTTACATGAGCGTGAGTGTGCCATGTGTGGATTGTGTGTCTTGTGTGTATGTGTGTGTGCATGTGTGCTTACATGTGCATGCAAGTGTGCCATGTGTGAATTGTGTCTCCTGTGTTCATATGTGTGCACTGTGTTCAGTATATGTGTGTGCACGTGCATGTACACACATGTGTTCCTGAGTGTGTGCATGTGCCTGTTATGTGCATTGCATCTGTGCACATGTGTGCATGTGTACACATGTGGGCATGTGCCCATGTGTTTGCTGCACTGTGTGTGCGCCTATGCATGCACACATGTGTGCGTGTGCATGTTCAGCATGTCAGTCTCTCACGCGGCTGCTCTTCTCTCTGCAGTCGGCAGCTGAGTGCAGCAGCCTCCTGCGGACCCTGCACGGCCTGGAGCAGGAGCACCTGCGCAGAGCTCTGGCCCTGCAGCAAGAGGAAGACTTTGCCAAGGCACACAGGCAGCTGGCCGTCTTCCAGAGAAACGAGCTGCACAGGATCTTTTTCACCCAGATAAAAAGTGCCCTTTTCAAAGGGGAACTGAAGCCAGAGGTGGCTAAAATGCTTCTGCAAGCTTATTCGGAAATACAGGTAATGCCTCTGACTGGGCTTCTGAGAGGAGCAAGTGATTGTCCTCAACTGTTTCAGGGTGCGTCTCCTCTCACAGGGAAGCCCTGCCTCAGCTTCTGTGCGCTTACCCGGGGACTAACTTCTCGTCCATCTGCCTCTGGCCATGGGGGGCGTTTCCGGAAGGAAGGAGGGCAAACCGTGGCTTAGAGCACGGGCCTTGGAGCCAAGCAGACCGGATCTGAATTCTAACTCCAGCCCACTCACCCCCCATCAACTGAGTGAACTTGAGCAAATTACCTAACCTTTCTGAGCCTCAGTTTCTTCTTCTGTAAAAAGGGGGTAATACAATTTCCACACTCACGGGAATCTGATGAACATGATATGAGCGGATTCACAGAAAACCACAGCTTGGCACAGTATATGCTTAATATTTATAGCAGTAAAAAATTAGCTAGCTATGGCGACCTTACGTACAACAGAATGACATTTTGCTTGGTCCTGGGTCATCCGCGTGATCGCCAGCGTGTTCCAGTCCATCACTGACTGCTGTGTCAGTCCAGCGCACCGAGGGTCTCCCGTGCCTGGCCCTCTCCTTCACCAAGCATGATGTCTTCCTCTAGTGATTGATCCCTCCTGATGACGTGTCCAAAGCAAGCGAGTTGGACAATGTTATGTTGTAATCCACAAGGTTTTCATTGGCTCATGTTTGGAAGTATATCTCCAGGCCTTTCTTCCTAGTCTGTCTTAGTCTAGAAGCTCCTCCATGATTGACCCTGCTGG